CTGCAGGAAGAGATTTTCTATATGTAAAACAATTTTATAATTCAATAAGCACTGGATATAAATTTTTACATTACTGAATGAATGAGAAACTCTTATTGTTAAGAATTGAAAGTTTTTAAGGTATTAAAACATTAATGGCTGCTTTTATTGGAGTATATTTCACACAAACATATCTACAGAATTAGTTATAAGGTTTCATTTACTGAAGAATGATACAGTGGCAGTGGTATGCACAAAATAATAAAATACAGCATCTTTGAAAGGTCAAGTCCAACGCAGTATTTGACATTCTCGGGAGTCAATCAATATCCTCTCTGGAAGAAGGGACCCTAGTTGCAACTATTTTTATCCAGCCCACTAAGTTTATTTTCTATACCCTCCCCAATGTCAACCTCCAGAAATGATATACTGACTATATCTTCTGAAATTTTTCTGGAAGATTGATCTTTTCAGTTGCATGGATTTTGAAAACATCATACTAGCTTGCATTCAGATAGCTCATCTCATCACAACAGAACCCAAAACTATTTACAAATTTGATGTAATGGAATACATACTCCACCACCACTGAAATGCAGTCAGTGCCAGGATAGAATGCACCAACTGCCTAAAATTCCACAACACTCTGCCCAACCATTTAGGACAGGAAGTGAAGAATACCTTATCCAGTTGACACTGCAAGCAAAATATAAGGCAGCAGAATGAAGTCAGTTGAGCTGCGTACACTTAAACAAAACAAAAGTTTCAAACTTGAGCCACATTCACATAATTTCAGGAACATTTGTTTGAATCTATCCAATTTTGAGCCATGTGAAATACAGTGGTTAGCAAAACAATGTGGGAATTAGGCATAGAGTCAGATAAATTCTTTCAAATATCTTGTGCCCTGATCCCACATTAGTGGATCCCAATGAAAGATCAGAGCCTTCTGTTTCCTTTCCCCCCTTCCCCTGTAACTTGTCTTAATTTAGACCCCAATCTTTAAATACAATATTCCAGTCTAGAGCCTTAAGCCCAGGTAGATGGTCTCCATGTGGGAGTCTTGGTGTTATACCCTAAAAAACACCAAAAATGAGGTATTTTAGGGTTTCACTAATCCCTCTTTGGGACTAATGCTTAAAAAGAAACTTGCTCTTAATTTACATGAAAACCAACAGGATTTTTTAAAATATTTTCTTATAAATTTTTTGAGACTACAAATAGAAAAAAACATGCCTACAGTAAGGCAGTGAAGGAAAAGATAGTTCGTAGATACCAAATAGTCACATAAAGAAAATATATAAAGGTAAAGGCAAAGAATACCTAGTATATGAACGGTTTCAGAGTAACAGCCGTGTTAGTCTGTATTCGCAAAAAGAAAAGGAGTACTTGTGGCACCTTAGAGACTAACCAATTTATTTGAGCATGAGCTTTCGTGAGCTACAGCTCACTTCATCGGATGCACACTGTGGAAACTGCAGAAGACATTATATACACAGAGATCATAAAACAATACCTCCTCCCACCCCACTCTCCTGCTGGTAATACTGTGGAAACTGCAGAAGACATTATATACACAGAGATCATAAAACAATACCTCCTCCCACCCCACTCTCCTGCTGGTAATACTGTGGAAACTGCAGAAGACATTATATACACAGAGATCATAAAACAATACCTCCTCCCACCCCACTCTCCTGCTGTACCAGGTGGGGTGGGAGGAGGTATTGTTTTATGATCTCTGTGTATATAATGTCTTCTGCAGTTTCCACAGTATGCATCCGATGAAGTGAGCTGTAGCTCACGAAAGCTCATGCTCAAATAAATTGGTTAGTCTCTAAGGTGCCACAAGTACTCCTTTTCTTTTTGCTAGTATATGAAATGCTTAGTGGGAACTAAATATGTGCAGTGACTGCAAGTTTGGGCCCACTGTAATCATTTGGCCAAGTTATATGCATGCAACAGTTTGAACCTTTCTTCATGAGTCAATTCGTCCAGATACTTCATCGCTTTTGTAGCAGAATTCCTAATTTGTCATCTTTAAGACAGTTCTCTTACACAAAATTCACTGCCTGGAACTCACACTTGTGGCCAGATCTAGCATTGCAGCTCTCTGCCTCCTTTCCCACCCTCCGTAGGTTCTTGAACAGACACTTAAAAACAAACTCCTTGTTTCCATAACACCCTTGTAGGGCTCATTTTTTGCAAGTCCTAAGATAAAGTACTGAAAGTCCAAACCAGACAACATCAAATGGACTAGAATCAAACAGAGGATCTTCCAACGCTGCCATCACCACGGCTCCTCTGTGTCAACCTTCAATTTCCACACCAGGTCTTTTACTAAACACACACACAAAAGTCTAAATTCTACCCCCTCCTTGGGCCCCTTCTGCATGCTCTGTGCCCCTAATTCCCAGGCCTTGCAGAGTCCTTCCCTGCTCTTTGAACTGCCTTCCAGGAGGTCCTTTTTCCCAGAAGCTTCCCTCTCATGGGAGATTCTGGCAGCCCCTTCTAGGGACCTTTCTTCTTCCCATTCCCCTCTCCTTGCTGACAGCCTGTCCCTTTGGAGGGAACACCTATCTATTTCTCAGCTGTGTCGGGCTAATGAACAGGGCTGACTGGCTGGCCCCAGGTCCCTGACCCTTAACTGGGCAGACTGCCCTGTTACAAGAGCCCAGCATTCTAGGAGTTTCCCCATTGCAGTGTATAGAGCTACTATCATCATCTTGATGGTGTTTTATTTCTCTATATCTCTAATCCCAGACATTACTTATTTAGCCCCTTTTTCCATATCTTATTTCACTTTTACATCTCACTTTGTGTCCATTATCAACCTTAGCTACTTTTCTGTGTTACTGATTTGCAAGTAGTCCCATTCCACCAAAACTCTGGGCTTCAGCTTACTTTCTCTAGCTACGTTCTCTTGTACTTTCCAGCCTAAATTTCAATGCATTTTCTGCTTTCCCAATTTAGAATAATCTATGCTTGACCGCCTCCCCTCCACCCCCAACACACCACACACACACACACACCCCTCTTCCCAGATCATTAATAGAGATGTTAAAAAAAAAAAAAGAGAGAGAGAGAGAGAAAGACTGGGTTTAACACCAGTCCCTGCAGAACTCAGGAGTCACTTCTCTTCACCTCAGTACATTGCCTTTTAACTTCATTACCCTTTGTTTATGGTCTTTCCACCAGTTCTCAATCCATATGATGGGACTCAAATCCAAGTCAATTTAAATTAATTTTCTGAAGTAAGATTCCTGTGTACTTTGGCAACTACAATTTAAAATTTTCCTCCTGAGAACAATTATTTCTTACACTCTGTCTTCAAAAGAACCTTGTGCGTAACCTATAGCCATTTCTCTCCACAAAATACAAGAGCATCATGTCCTTGATTCAGCATGTGTGTCTAACTTTAAGCATCTGAGTAGTCACAGACATTGAAACCAATGGGAATAATTGCATGCTCAAAGTTTGGCATATGTCTAAATTTCTTGTTGAACTGGATCCCAAATCCACTACAAAAGAGCTACAGAGGATGGAGCAATATTTGTCTCTGTATGCTGAATAACAAAAACACAGAATCAAAAATAAAAGCAGTCATCTTCACTTTGCTGGTGTTTACGGTGTAAAATTATTTGTGCGTATTCAGAGGGAATGCCAGTTATTTTGGAAAATGTATGTGAATCCAAAAGTTTCCCAGACTTTAGAACAATGGGAGTATTCATCTGAAAATCTGTACCAGAAGCATGCTATTCATTATAGGCTGTCATAAATATAAAGGGAAGGGTAAACCCCTTTAAAATCCCTCCTGGCCAGAGGAAAAATCCTCTCACCTGTAAAGGGTTAAGAAGCTAAAGGTAACCTCGCTGGCACCTGACCAAAATGACCAATGAGGAGACAAGATACTTTCAAAAGCTGGGAGGAGGGAGAAAAACAAAGGGTCTGTGTCTGTCGGTATGCTGCTTTTGCCGGGGATAGAACAGGAATGGAGTCTTAGAACTTTTAGTAAGTAATCTAGCTAGGTATGTGTTAGATTATGATTTCTTTAAATGGCTGGGAAAAGAACTGTGCTGAATAGAATGACTATTTCTGTCTGTGTGTCTTTTTTGTAACTTAAGGTTTTGCCTAGAGGGATTCTCTATGTTTTGAATCTAATTACCCTGTAAGGTATCTACCATCCTGATTTTACAGAGGTGATTCCCTTACTTCTATTTCTATTAAAAGTCTTCTTGTAAGAAAACTAATGTTTTTTCATTGTTCTCAGATCCAAGGGTTTGGGTCTGTGGTCACCTATGCAAATTGGTGAGGATTTTTACCAAACCTTTCCCAGGAAGTGGGGTGCAAGGGTTGGGAGGATTTTGGGCGGAAAGACGTGTCCAAACTACGTTTCCCAGTAAACCCAGTTAGAGTTTGGTGGTGGCAGTGGATATTCCAAGGACAAAGGATAAAATTAATTTGTACCTTGGGGAAGTTTTAACCTAAGCTGGTAAAAGTAAGCTTAAGAGGTTTTCGTGCAAGTCCCCACATCTGTACCCTAGAGTTCAGAGTGGGGGAGGAACCTTGACATAGGCTATTAGTCTTTCATTATCCTGTTGCCTAGCAAGTTTCAGTCATCTACTAAGGGTACAGAAGCAACATCCTGTTTAGACTGGAAATTCATTGTGGTGATGACTGTATTTCTATCTATACCACACTGGGCATGTCCTCACACATAACCTCAGCAATAATAGTGTGATTTAAATAACCCGTCAAACACCATGAAAAAAGAAGCATGAAAAGTTGATGCTTCCCATATGATGAAAAAGATTTGTCCAATCTACTTTCTAAATACCTACAAACAACAAATAATATATTTGCAGACAGCAGGATTGATTCACAAATAATTCACAAACGGAATAATATTTGCAACAAGAAATGTGACCCAGTTCAACCCTAGATCTGCAGCATGTAAATAAAAATGCTGATTACTGTGTAGTCCACAGACAGAATGCCAGTGGCAAATCGCAGAGACTTACAGGGTGTTCAGATGCTTCAATTTCTTAAACGTGCCGGCTGGGATTTCTCGTATTCTGTTAAACCGCAAATCCCTGGAAAAAGAAAGAACAGGAAATTTAAATTAATCATTCTGACTTCCTTCTTGTCACTGCTAAGTGTTTGGTTTAATACATGAAACTAATGCATCTCCACACCCTTCTCTTATGCATGTGACAGAGTTCCAGTAAATGGAGAACAAAGGGAGAAACAATGGCAGCTGACAGTAATCCCATGCCCACATACATAGTGGCCTTTCAGATCACTGCCTCCATACCAGCTTTCTACGGGTGAAGACCCTGCCCCTTTACAGGAACTTAAATGGAGGGGCCGAGCTACTGTCATGATACCATTTGCAAACATAAATCCATTTAATATTACACTGTTCAGAAATAATTCAGCTGAAGCTGGGCAATCCTTACCAGGAGAAGTTAAGGACAACATCACTCAACCTCACCATATGCCTATCAGTTCAGGCCATCGCATGGGCCACCTGCTGTTTAACACAGCAAATGAATTCATCATAGCTTCTGTGCCAGTTTCATAGAGATTACAAAAGAAACCATGGAATACTTATACTGTATGTATACTGGCAACTGCGGTTCAAACTACACACACACGCAAAATAAAGAGCTGAAAACAGGAAGTTGCATGTATCTGTTGGAAAACTCCATTAGATTTTCTTTCGAGAGAGCACCATTCATTATGGTTACCCATCAACTCAGTTCAGCAGAAGACTCATGATTCCATACTAGTTATTATTAGACTGAAATTACTAGAAAACCTGCAGAAACAGCCGCTTCTGGTTACAAGAAATGTCTGTGGTTTTGAATAAGCTCCAAGGTGTCTCATTTTAACTCCAATTTAGTTTGAAGGAGAATATTTTGCATTAATTTGTAAAGGAGATTACTGGTTTACAATAAAAATACAAAGTTCAAATGCCAAAGTGATTAAAGGGAATTGCAAATGGATGGATAAATTTAATTTACCTAGATTCTAAAATGTTTGGTTTATACTGCTCCCCAAAAAGTCATCCCCATACTTTTTCCTTAACACTAATCACCTCACATATTTACTTCTTCCTACTCCGAATATCAACTTGATGTATGAGCAGCCTAGAGGATTAGAAAAAACGCCCAGACTGAGCATGAAAACAGAAATTGAATAGCTCCATAAGGGAGTTCTCCCCTCATAAGAGGCGAGGTTATGTCTGGGTCTCTCGTTTTCCTAGTGTTCATTCTTTATATTTTTCATAGGGGAGACCTCTTTACTTGGCTGCTACCATGCAGGTTGTTAAGTCTCAAGAGAGTCTACTCAGCCAACTCCTTGACAAGCCCTAAATATAGTCCAGTTCTCAATGACTGGGCACAGCAAATCTTTTCCTGGAGGCAAGAAAATATGCAACATTACAAATGCTAGGGTTTTTCCTCAACCCCCTGTTAAACTACAGATACTGTAAATTCTCCTGGATAAATGTTGAAAAAGTCCTATATATTTTAATAGTCATTTTAGCCATCTTAATATTTTCATGAGTACTCCCATTTACTGTCCACAAACATACCACTTTTTAAGGTTGGGAATATGTAAAAAAGTAACAAAACATGCAATTAATTATATGACATTTCATTTCAACTTGTGATAAGAAATCTAGGTGTACTTTGGATTGGAGGGTGTTTCAAAGAGGAGGTTTCCTTTGTGAGTAATTCCAGTTATCAATCTAAACTTTCAGCTTGTCTTTTCTCTACTTACCGCATTTAATGAAACTCAGAATGCCAAGATTCACTTATCGATAAATTTAAAAAAATTGCCTTTGATGCCCATAAACATTTTGTTAAAAGCTACAAGACTGTTTTCTCTCTTTTGCTGTACAATACAATGGCTCAATAAATACCTACAGCATGGAAATATAGATAAGACAACCTTCTGGTTCCCAGACAGTGCATCGCCTTCTCCATGTTCCAAAAACTCTTCCCAAAACAATCACTACTAACTTGTTACAGTGAGATACAGTTGCGGCTGTTGCTATTTTAGTGACACAATCGCACCTAAATCATACACTAGAAAAACAAAGTAAACACCCCTTAATGGATTAAATGTATATTTGTACATAGAGAATTATGGACAAAATTTTCCCCCTCTGATGCTTCATCGGTGCCTCTTAGGGAAGAGGTAAGGCCACTAAATCATGCCTCTTTTATTCCCTAACGCCAAGGAGTATCATTATGACAGTAGACTTAACTTTGAATATTTTGGCTTGTGTTAGATTGTGCCATAACCTGAGTGCATTTAAAAATCTAGATTTTTGCAGCCAGTATGCTTATTGTATTAGAAACTCAAGTACTTCCCTAAGCCTGTAGTTTATACTGTTTTGAATTGCCTTGCATTTATTCATACACTATACCTGTCTCTCAGGGAATGTTAATAATTAGCTAACACCATCTAACAATTGTACATGTTCATTTTCCTCACATCAACCAATGTCTGACTTTCCTTTCTAGGATATAGTACACCCTGGAAGAGAATTCCAACTTATTTATTAAAAGGCAAAGAAAAGTGATACCAATTTCCCTTCTATTTGTTCTACATATACAAAAATGTAGTCATTCGAAAGATCTTCCCATTATCCAACTGCTAATGGAATAGCGAACATCTACAGTCTTGTGACAGATCTGGTTGGTCCTAATCAGTTGGCAGAGTGAGCGCCCTTCTGTAAAAAAGACAGTAGCTTACACTGTTTCTAAACATTTGTAGTTAACATCTTTGTATTTGTCAGAGTTTATGAAGCTCATGCAAATATCCTTTTTGCGTAAGTGAAATGTTTAGATGATTGCTTCACGTTTATTTGCCACAGGTAGCTGGTAAGCCCATAAAAATGTACATATAATTATAACATTCTAAAGCTGTGCCTTGTTACATTAGCTCTAGTTTTCATTGCAAAATTCTAATCTAAAAAGGAAAATTAAACCTTTCATGGATACAAGATTCTAGATAAAAAATATTTCAGCTGAAAGCTTTCTACTTTCTTTAGTTTGCAATAGCCAGCCATTTCCAGGATATGTCACTGCAGAGTATTCATCCTTTCAAATACATGACATTTTATGAAGTCGGTCAAATAAAAGACTACTTATTCCACAAATGTGCACTCTTCTCTCACAAAGGACACTCCTGCCTCTCATCCCTCAACCTCTGGCTAAGGAAGACTAATGGATAATCCCTTTCAAGATGTCAACTTCACCCCTTAGGCTGCCCACCAAGGTAGCTATTTCTTCCTCCCACTGTCTCTCAAGCAAAGGAAAATGCACAGCCACCTCTCTGCCAGCTGGGAGAGGCAATGAGATTTTAGCAAGGAATCTCCATATTCATTTCATATTAAATCATTCTTTTGCCATGATCCATGAAGAAACACATCAGCTTTGCATATGGGGAAGTGGTGTCTTGTACAAATTCAGTAAATACTTAATCTGAAACATGTTTGGTAAAATAAATCTCTCCGACTCGAAGGACAGCTTCATTTTCCATTCTCAGTGAAGTCCTCAATTTGTCGGTTTCAGGAGACAAGAATGATTTAAGAAATCTGTATTGTTTATACAGCGATCTTTTTTACTTAGAAGCTGGAAAGACACATAAGAATTCTTTGCACTTCTCACTCTCAGAGCATTCTCCATTTTATCCCTCTATCAGCCCCTTACATCAAAATATCATGTAAAACCTCTGTCATTTTAGCCAGAGGAAGACTATATGTTAGCCAAATAAAGACCTGTTTATGCAACAAATCTGAGCCTCCCTCCTTCAGACAAGACAACTGCCTCTGAGAAAGAGTGCTGTCAGAGCAGTGTGAGGACCCCCTAGTAAGAACTGAGCTCTGTCTCTCTGAAATATTCCCAGGCCTTCCTAATAGAAGGAAGTTGAGAGTGAAATTGGCACTGAAATTCAGATCCTCCCCATGCCAACTCAGATCACCAGCATTATGCTTTGTTTCTTTCAGTGTTTGGTTCAAATCTTATCCTTTCACTATTGTAATGATTTCCTACTCTCTGAGACTTCAGAGTCATCAGCTCTACCATAAACCATGGTTTCATGGGTTTGCCGGGGTGCAGGTGAGGCAGTGTGATCCAATGAACGTAGCACTGGACTGGAAATCAGGAGGCTGAGCTTTCTGCGGCTCTGACATTGACTCGATGTGACCTTGGTTAAATCACAACCTCTCTGTGCTTTAGTTCTCTCATATGCTGAGTGGGGATAATAATACTTCACGTCACATTGTAAAGTACATTGAGATTTACAGATCTAAATTGCTAAGGGTTATCATCAAGTCCACTGTCAGAGTTCGATAAAATAAAGCGAGAATGGTGTCAAGCTGCCTGAAGTGCCCGAGGAGCGTGATTACCAGCCTCAAGGCTGACTGGTAAGAAGCAGGACACAAACCCCAAAATGGCTGAGAGTTCTATATCCTGATTTCATCAACCAGTTATCAACTGTAAACTCCTCAGGCACTGTAATAGCCATAACATGGAGTCACAGACAGTCCACTTGGGTACTCCAATCTGTCTCACCACTCAGGTGAGCATTCCTTTTGTGACAGATGGTGCCTTACACCAAAAGTCACAGCAATAGTCAGGTTAGTCTCAGTCCAAAAGGATCAGTCACATATCCTAGTCAATTGCACCTTAGATCTCATACAAAAGACTATTTTTGTAGCCAATCCTCTAATAAATTATCTGATGATTTATTAAATAGGAAAAGGAAATGGGATATTGAAAAGGTTAAAGCAGGGTAAACACACACACACAAATAAATGAGTTACAATCTTAAATTTAAAAAATCAATAGAAATTCTGTAATAAGCAAGCCCTATATGTCTGTTAGGGCTAACCCAGGCTGAGCAGCTGGGGACCCCTTGCTTATGCCTAGAAACCTTGCCCCAAGAGCCTAAGCAGGACAGAGACAGTCAGTTCCTTCCACTTGGGGTTTTTATTCCCCACCTGCCATGTACTGTGAACTGCCATCTCAGCTGATGGGAGGAATTCACTTGCATGATTCATCTTGGGAGGGTGTGG